CCAAACTTACTCTAGATCTAGCGGCCTCCGGGGACATGTTTCCTAACTACAGCATTGACTGGACATTTGTTGGCACAGGACCGTGACAATACCTTGTCCCTATATTTCTCTGTAGGTGTACATAGATGTACATGTACAAAAACATTGTACCAGCAAGCAGCCACCTGTCCCTATATTTCTCTGTAGGTGTACATAGATGTACATGTACAAAAACATTGTACCAGCAAGCAGCCACCTGTCCCTATATTTCTCTGTAGGTGTACATGTACAAAAACATTGTACCAGCAAGCAGCCACCTGCCACGTCATCCATAACCAAAGACATGACGTCACTGAGATGATCACAGTTGAAAACAGACCCCAGAATACCATACAAGAACTACATGAACAAACGTATCGGAACACATTCATTATTACATTATATAAGATAGATAGATATATATATATTATATATAATTATTGTCTGTAACAAATTTGGCCAAACGGAGCTGACCTTGCAGATTTGTCTGTGTTTTTGTTGTTTTATTACGTTTTAACTGAAAAAACAAAAATAATCAGTAACCCGGTATTTGAGAAGTTTGAGAAGTCGGATGGCGCATTTTTCACAGTACAGTAGCTAGTATATGTTGTTGTTGTTGTTGTTTTCAAATCCCTTTAGCTGCGAGCATTTCGCTCCTGGCAGCGCAATGCCTCCCTCAAGAAACCACAAACACACATATATATATATATGTATGTTGTTGTTGTTGTTATCGATCCAATATAATAAAAGTGGGCATTTTCACCTACGCTGCGGCAAAAAGCTGCATACAACAAACAAGCATTATTTTCAAAGTTGAGTAACCTGCAAAAGTGAAATGTGTTTTTATACGACATAAAAGAGGTTACGCTAAAAAATAAAAAGTCGATCAAAATTTCCAAACTGGCGCAAAAATGCCTGTTTTTCCAATTTCGATATTTTGACAAGCGCCTGATTTCACCAAGCCGCCTCACACATTATATGTACATCTGGAACTGCAGACCCATAATATATGTACGTCTGGAACTGCAGACCCATAATATATGTACATCTGGAACTGCAGACCCATAATATATGTACGTCTGGCACTGCAGACACGTCTGGTACTGCAGACACATAATATGATAATATGTACGTCTGGAACTGCAGACACATAACTTCAGATTTGAAACACCCCCAGAACGTCTTTGGTCACCCTCCCCCACAAGCCACTTCACAATGCCAATATCACAGTCTCTTTATAACACCAAGTAACAATATTTGGCTCAAACATTTTTGGAGTAGCGGCAAAACTAACGGAAGTGTGCTGTTAGAATCTGGCTACAGGAAATATATGGTACCGAGTGATAGCAATATGGTACTGAGTGATAGCAATATGGTACTGAGTGATAGCAATATGGTGCTGAGTGATAGCAATATGGTACTGAGTGATAGCAATATGGTGCTGACTGATATCAATATAATATAGTGCTGACTGATATCAATATAACAGTTGTAATTATGGTACTGAGTGATAGTTTTCCAACAGAGAAAAATCCAACACAGAACAAGAAATGATCAGGGTGAGTAGAATCTAGCAGCACGTGTGGAGGGAGACGCGTTTGTGTTTGTGGCTCGCTACATTCAGCATTATCCAGAATAGAGGACTTCACCATGTGTTTGGAAGAAAGGGACAAAACAAGAACCCCGCAAGAAAATGCCACTTAGAGTTTGAGGAATGTTCAGGCCCGTCACTACAGCAAAGGACGGCGTGTCTGTACATGATATTTGACATCAGGGCACCAAGAATCGGTCGCTAGCTCATCTTATTTTTGATCACAGGCTATAAACAAACTAGCGTTGTAAAGAACGGAACGTGGGCATGGAATGTCATGAGAGTATAAAAGGCTTTCTCCAGAAAACATTGTAACAGTGTACATAAATTTACTGATCATTTTCCTGGCTGATTTTTTCAAATGTCACCAAAAAGTGTAGTCAAATATAACACATCTCACCTTCTTTCACCGTTTTTATCAGTTTTTGTTGATTACATTTTTTAATGATAAAAATCAACCCCAAAAAGGGTGCACATTATATTGCCTGTCACTTTTCTTTCAAAGAGAGTGATTCAATAGCTTCGCCAAAGTTAAATATCAAACAGAATTAACTTTTTACGATACATTTTTTCCAGGATTACTGCATTTCTGGAACACTTTGCAACTTGAATACAGGGGGTTAGAAAACGAAATAACGTTGCAAACATTCTGAACATCGAAGCTTCTGAGCATACCAAATAAGAACGCTCAAGTTAATAGTAAAAGTCAAGACACATTTCTACCAGTAGCAAGAGACACATTTCTACCAGTAGCAAGAGACACATTTCTACCAGTAGCAAGACACAAAGGATTTCTGTAAGGCTAGAACATATTTGGCAACAAGGGAAGCTGAGAGTTCCAGACCTCGCTGTCAAGTCAAGGTACAACCATATAGCCATTGTTTACCAAACTGAGAGTTCCAGACCTCGCTGTCAAGTCAAGGTACAACCATATAGCCATTGTTTACCAAACTGAGAGTTCCAGACCTCGCTGTCAAGTCAAGGTACAACCATATAGCCATTGTTTACCAAACTGAGAGTTCCAGACCTCGCTATCAAGTCAAGGTACAACCATATAGCCATTGTTTACCAAACTGCCGTGGTAGTTGCGTAAGGCATACTGTCGTTCCGACAAATATTTGGATGGTACTCAAACTTACTCTAGTTCTCAACAACAAAATGTTTGGAAAGTTCCCAAACTTACTCTAGATCTAGTTCTCAACAACAAAATGTTTGGAATGTACCCAAACTTACTCTAGTTCTCAACAACAAAATGTTTGGAATGTACCCAAACTTACTCTAGTTCTCAACAACAAAATGTTTGGAATGTACCCAAACTTACTCTAGTTCTCAACAACAAAATGTTTGGGAATGTACCCAAACTTACTCCAGTTCTCAACAACAAATGTTTGGAATGTTCCCAAACTTACTCCAGTTCTCAACAACAAATGGGTCCAGGGGCATAATGTCTCCATCAAGAACAAACATTCATTTTTTTAAAACGTTGATAAATAATAACATTAGAATTTGATTCACATACAAAGCATCACAATAAATTACTCCATTAACATTTGTAAATACATAATCGCTGGACATTAGTTTTAGTTTAAGTAAGTGTTTTACAGCACTTGCAAAACTACTAGGTCATATGGTCGCTTTTAAGCACAAGGGGGCTATCCCGAAAAATGCTGTTTTGAGAAAATCGAAGGGAAAGTTTTTGCCCCTTGTTCATTTTCTTTAAAAGACAAGGAGAGTTTTCTCTATTACCAAACAAATATACACACCAATGAAACCAAACTTCTCCTATAGGTAGGGCAATACCCACTTTAGGTGTAGGTCAAGATTTTCGGAACCCCCGAAATCTGGGTCAGCCCGCTTGTCCTGAAAAGCGACCAAATATGTCCTGAAAAGCGACCAAATATGTCCTGAAAAGCGACCAAACATGTGCTGAAATGCTGGACTTAAAAAAGGCAAAACAATAAATCGTTAATTTCTCCAACACGGTTCGAGAGTAACTTCCCCTGCCTGCGTCACTCAGCAGACTGACTCTGTGTGACGTCACCGCCGCCCTTGTTGCCACTGGCGTCTGCCTGCTCGCCACTTCCTTCCTTCTGCTCTTCACTGGCGTCTGCCGCCGCCGTCTCCTCGCTAGCCTCAGTCTGTTGCTGCTCGCCGGAGGCTTCCTGCTGAGTTCCTCCCTCACCCTCACCTCCCTCCCCTCCCTCCCCAGCCTTCTCTACAACCTCTGACCCCTGCCCTGCTTGCTCTTCCACTTGCTGTTGTTTTTCCTCCTCTTCTTTGTTTCCCTCCTCCGCCTGTTTCTCGCCCTCTGACGTCACCGCGGTCGTTTCCTGTGACGTCACCACGATCGTTTCCTCCGACTGTCCAGCCGACGCCTCCTGTGAATCTGCGGCCGTTTCTTCCTGTGTCGTTTTCTCTCCCTCCTCCTGTTGCTGGCCGCCTGTGTCCATGAAAGGAAAACACAGACAGAGCCTGGTTAGTGTTTCAACATTTGTTTAGTTTCAGTAAGAGTTGTACGGCACTTGCAACACAATAAGGTCATATAACAAACACAAAAAGAAGGAGGAGAGAGAAGGACGACAGATGTTTGATAGGAAAGAAGAAGCAAAGCACACCAGAGAAGGAGCTCAATAGTACACACAAATAACGTTTCCACCAAAGAAACACCTACAGTATCTACCCACAGAGTGCAGACAACAAAACCAAACCAACATTTACAATTACAACAAAGTAAGGGGGGGGGGGGGGAATAACCAATAAATCTAAGCACAATGCGTTCATAGGAATCTCCACTAAATGTGATACCCAAAGTAGACGAATCTGTCAAACAAATCACACGGGCAGAAACCAAAACACCTGAAAAAAACCAAAACACCAAAGGAGAAATGAGGTTACCATGCAAGTGCAGAAGCAATATGTACTATCCAAAAGTCATGCAAGAAAATGTGTTCTCTTCCATTCTAAGCCATGCATCAATCAACGCCACTTCTAGGAAGTATAAAAATGTTCTGCATCTTATGTACAGGATACAACTACACGTGAACAGCACAGGGGGAAAACGACGGTAGTCACAAACTGGAAATTGTGAGGGTGCCAATTTTAAAAGCTTGTGGACTCGTAACTTCATATTTGTTTGGCTGGTGGTTTATTGTTAAGTGTTGTTGAACGGGAAATCTTACTACACTAATCAGCCGACAGTTGAACAGAAATACAGTTATGAGTCAACAAGCGTCAAAAATTGGTACCGGTACCCTCACGATCTTCAGTTTGTGACTACCGTCGTTTTTCACCCTGTAGTCTTCATGTATGTATATACACATGCATACAGCACGTATTCGTTTTTCTACACTTTGATCTTAGCCAAAGGGCCGAGAACACAAGGTGAAAATATTCATGAAGGTGCAGATAGAACACATTTACAACTACTGGTCTCCAGACCCCATGGCTGACCAATCACTGTACTGATCTCCACACCCCATAGCTGACCAATCACTGTACTGATCTCCACACCCCATAGCTGACCAATCACTGCACTGGTCTCCAGACCCCATAGCTGACCAATCACTGTACTGATCTCCAGACCCCATAGCTGACCAATCACTGTACTGGTCTCCAGACCCCATAGTTGACCAATCACTGTACTGATCTCCAGACCCCATAGCTGACCAATCACTGTACTGATCTCCACACCCCATAGCTGACCAATC